CATGAACCGTGAGATCATGACCAGAGCCGAAGTCGGACGCTTAATCGACGCAGCCTCCCAGGAGTGCCTTTTTGGTCCCCTTTGAAATCGGTTTATCGCACCGTCAGAGCACGTTATGCTGTGGACGATGCAGAGGCCCCTTTGGCTCATGGACAGCTTTGCGGGAAGGCTTCAGGGTGGACACTTGGCAGGTCCCCCGCCGCTCTGAGCCTTTCTCCTCCGCGGCCAGCCAGCGAGAGAATGACTGCCGTGTGTCCCCAGTCTGCCCTGAGGGGTGCGTCCCCCTGTCTCCCCAGGCTCCACACAAGCCACAGCCAGCTTTGTGCACGTCTATGTGCTCGTGGTCCTGGGGACCTTCGTCTGTGCCCTGATTCTCAGCTGCCTTGTGAAAAGGTAACGCCACTGGTGGGTTGGATAGAGCTCGCAGAGCCGGTGGTGTGCCCTCAGCAGGGGGCGGTGTAGACGCGGGCCAACGGGGGCCTCGTCGGGACCCCCGACGGGCAGCCCCAGAGCCCCCCAGGGGCCCTACTGAGCCCACCCGTGCGCCCCCCCCTTCAGCTGGATGGGCGCTGGGGGCCCCCGACCTCAGCTTCTCTTTCTGCCAAAGCTTCCTGTCCCCGTGTGAGTCTCACCGAGGCCTCGGGGCCCAGCCGGCGACTTTCAGTCCTCCCGCCTTTGCATATGGGGAACGGGGGCTCCTGTGTGGGCAGCAGACGTGTGCCCTCAACTCCAACAGGGTCTCAGGGCCCCTCACACGCGCCTCAGAATGAAAGGCACACGCAGAAAAGTTAATTCTCACCTACAGGCCAGTTCAGGGCACGCTTTGCGAACCTGAGGCGTCTTCGCAGAGGGTGGCCCTCCTGCACGATGGGGGGACCCTCTGGGTGGCCTCCTGTGCCCAGCCCTCGATGGCCCCCCGCGTCCTGGCTGGGCATCCAGTGGCCGTTCTCCTTAGGACTGAGGCGCGTGGCCAACGGCACAGGACAAGGGGGGGCTTTCCTGGCCGGCTGAATGCGGGGGCCGCATGGCACCCCCGTTGCCCAGGGACCCTGCACCTGGGAGCAGATGGGAACAGGGGCCACAGCCACCGGAACAGTGACAGAGCGCGTGCTTTACCCAGGGCACTTATCTTCGTGAAAAGCTGCTTGCGTTTCCTGTGGAAACAGGAAAAAATGACCACAAGCCAGATGTCTTGAAACAACAGAAATGAATCATCTCCCAGCATTGGAGACGACAGTCTGAGATCCAGGCAGGGCAGGACCACTGAGATCCAGGTAGGGCAGGGCCGCTGAGACCCAGGCAGGGCAGGGCCGCTGAGCTCCAGGCAGGGCAGGGCCGCTGAGATGCAGGCAGGGAAGGGCCACTGAGATCCAGGCAGGGCAGGGCCGCTGAGACCCAGGAGGGGCAGGGCCGCTGAGCTCCAGGCAGGGCAGGGCTGCTGAGATGCAGGCAGGGAAGGGCCACTGAGATCCAGGCAGGGCAGGGCCGCTGAGATCCAGGAGGGGCAGGGCCGCTGAGATACAGGAGGGGCAGGTCCACTGAGACCCAGGAGGGGCAGGTCCACTGAGATCCAGGAGGGGCA